CCCCGCCCCCCGCCCCCCCCCGCCTGCCGGCTGGCCCGCCCCATCCCTCCTTCCCGAAGGGGGAGATTCCAACCTGCTTCCCGTTGGGTCCTAAAACCGACGGGAGCCGCCAATTTACCCCTTCTTCCTACACCCCTCAAATTCTCCCTCTTCTTTCTGTGCCCAGGACGCAGCGAGTCTCTGCGGGTAAGGGGACACTCGCGTAGTTTACTCCCAACTGTTTGCAACTTTTGAAACATGGGCAATCTGGCTTTGACATTTTAAAACCATTTCAAACAGGTGGGGGTTGGGGAGCCTTACACACTCATACTCTCGCTCACACTCACGCACACACGCAAGCACTCACGCCGGTCCTAAGCCTCCTCACCGCCCTCGGCCAGTGGCTGGGCAAGCTGTCGGTCACCCAGCCGGACTTCTGCGCCAGCCCCGCCACACTGCCCTCTGAAACCCCAGAGGCGCGCTCCTGCTGCCTTCCCGCCCTGCGCCCGCGGGTTCGGCTCCTGGCGCTGGATAAGCCGATGTCTCTACGACCATACGGAGGAAGGCGGTGGGGCCCCCGAACTGGTATCCCTGTGCACGTCACATGTGCCCACACTCACATTCATCCACACCCCTAAACTTGGGGCCAACTTTTTAGGGTACAGGGGAAACTACAGGCGGTAGAGAAACTAAACGGCTCGGGTCTTCGACCTAAAAGTTCTAACTGTCCTTCCTGCAGAACCTGAGGGAGCCAGTCCTCCGCCCCAGGCTCAAGTTCTTGGCGAAACCGGGAAGCCTAAGGACTTGCACCTCCGCCAGGAGATAAAGATCACCACCGGTGCGGGATGTGCACCGGTGTCTTGATGCCGTGGGGGCGTGGTGCGCGGGCGCGGCGGCCACCTCGGAATTTGCAGCCTCTAGGTCGCTGCTGCCTCGGGCGCCGCCCCGGGGTGGGGTAGAGTGAGCGTCTGTCCCTGTGAGGTTGCCAAGGGAAAGAATCCCTTCCACCTAGAAAACTGCGGTCCCAAGTACTCCCCACATCGACCTGCATGGTGGTCTCCAAACAGTTTCTTTTCCTCCTTAGTGATTTATAACTTTTTGGTCATCTTTAGTCACAGGAGTTGAAGCAACTCAGGAAAGATGGGATGCCACCTCGGTCGGGATTGGGAGGGGGCTCTGGGGCATGGGTTCCCACGGGTCACCCTCTGCGTGACCTTGAGCAAGCTCCACTCTCACAGCCGCTATTTCTCAGACACTGTAACAATACCCCAATGGGTTCTTAATGTTACATGGAAAAACACATTTAAAGTGCTCAGTTTGTAAAATTAATACTTGTAAAGTCCATATAGTAAACGTTTGTGACAATAGTATTTCAGCAGAGAATTAGGAAATCTTTATGAATTTTAGGTTAGGTGCTCCTTTCTAAAACTTAAAAAAAAAAAAAAAGCATGCATTTAAATATGTATTTAAAGCACTGTGTACCAAGTGCTATTCTAAGGGAAGAATGTTGTTTTTCTTAGCATATCTAGAACTGAAAACCCATTACCTTGTAATGTTTCTCTTTTTTTAGGAATTATTTAATTTTATTTATTATCATTTTAAAATTCAAACAGAGGAAGAGAGAAAGTGAGACAGCAGGCCACCAAGTCCTGGACTTGAACTATGGCCATGTGGGAGTTCTGCACCTTAACCACTAGCCACCTGCTGGCCCTCCAACCTTTGAATCCTAGGAACTGAGAACCTTGCTTTGTGTGGAGTGTGACAGACACTCAGTTGCTGAATGTGTATGAAGGAATGCATGGATGAATTGTGACATTAAACTGTATCATACATGACCTTTGACTCAAGCCTATTTAGGTTTGGTAGTTAATACCAAGGTATTTGAGCCAGCAGGTGGTGTGAAGGTTAAGGTTGCTGGATCCCATATGGCCAACTGCATGGTTCAAGTCCTAGCTGCCTGGAAAACATGCCAAGCACATGTGCATGCATGGCCCAAATCCACAGAAGAGCAAGGGGGAAAAGGTACTTCAGTGAGGTCACCTCCCACCCCTGGGGTGGTGAAGGGTGATTTGTCACTTTCCCTCTTCTCCTCTCTCTGGCACGCCTACTACCCTGTAGCATACTAAAATAAAGAAATGAATGCAAAAGACAGGGAAAAAACTAAGTGTTTATAGATTATTTCTTTGAAAGAATGTATAGTTTTCTAATTTGAGGTTGATTTTTCTTGAGTCGATGTAACACGGGATCCCGGCGACAATACGTTCTGATGGGAGAAACAACATCATAACATGCATGCGTGTCAGGATGGTTACGTGTGTGCTTTTACGTAATCACCACAACAGCTAGGTGATGATAGGGTAGGAATTACCAGCAATAACCTTGATTTTACATTTGGGGAAAGTGAGGACACTTGCCCAAGAACTTTGAAGTAACAAAACCAGGATGTGAACCCAGAGGCACACCCCAGAGCCCATGTGCAGAACCCGTGCACTGTGAGAGCATGGCCAATGAACATATTTGAATAACAGCATTTTTTTTTTTTGGCTCTGCATTCTACCACAGCTTATGTGAATGATAATTTGGTCAACCTCCTCTTTATCTCTTCCCTTTAATCTGAAGGAATACAGTGTTCCATTTTGGAATTCAATCTCCTGTTCCACATCTGTGGGCTCTGAAGATTGGCTGTTTTACAAGAATGTAAAGAAAATTAATTTGCAAACATTTCTACAGTGTTTGGAGACCTGTGGGCTGCAGCACAGGTGAGATGCCAAACATCCTTATGTTGTTAACGTTTCTTTTCTTTTTTTTATTTTTTTAAAAGAATTGTTTTATTTTTACTTATTTTATTTTATTTTATTTGACCAGAGAGGGACAGAGAGAGAGAGTGAGAGAAAGTGGGAAAGCAAGCTGCCAGGTCCAGGGACTTGAACCATGGTCTGCCATGTGGGAGTCCAGCGCCTTTAACCACTACGCCACCTGCCAGCCCCTGTTATTAACATTTCAACAATGAACTCTTACTAAACATAGTAGATTCTTGCATGAGAAGTAAACTATAACACAATCAGCTCTTAATCAATTAAGATTTTCTTTTCTCTCTCTTTTTTTTTTTTCCTAGAGAGATTTTTGCTACAGGGCATGTGTGTTTGCTGGAGAGACAGAGAGACAGAAAGAGAAAAATCACACACACACACACCTTTACACCCTCCTCTACACCAGGACGGCGGCACCACAATTCCTTCTTCTCCATTCTCCTCTCAGGATCTTGGATCTTGGGAACGCATGCACATGTGCACAGTGTGAGTTTTAAGCCTCCAGGTCTAGGACTCAAACATGGTCAACCACGTGGGAGTCCAGTGTCATAACCATTACACCATCTGCTAGCCCAAGATCTTACTTTCATACAGCTGATTTTATTGGGAGAGGGGAAAACACACAAATTTGAAATGTGCATCTCTTATTCTCTCAAATATATTTCTTACCAAAATTTTCAATGAAACATTTTCTAGTGATTCAAAAAAAATTATTGCAATCTGAAGTATTTTATCATATTTTTTTGGAAAGAGAAATATGTTGGTCAGCTGTGGGTCAGAAAAAGACATATAAATTAGTTAACTTTTACCTAGAGAGATTTTTGCTACAGGGCATGTGTGTTTGCTGGAGAGACAGAGAGACAGAAAGAGAAAAATCACACACACACACACCTTTACACCCTCCTCTACACCAGGACGGCGGCACCACAATTCCTTCTTCTCCATTCTCCTCTCAGGATCTTGGATCTTGGGAACGCATGCACATGTGCACAGTGTGAGTTTTAAGCCTCCAGGTCTAGGACTCAAACATGGTCAACCACGTGGGAGTCCAGTGTCATAACCATTACACCATCTGCTAGCCCAAGATCTTACTTTCATACAGCTGATTTTATTGGGAGAGGGGAAAACACACAAATTTGAAATGTGCATCTCTTATTCTCTCAAATATATTTCTTACCAAAATTTTCAATGAAACATTTTCTAGTGATTCAAAAAAAATTATTGCAATCTGAAGTATTTTATCATATTTTTTTGGAAAGAGAAATATGTTGGTCAGCTGTGGGTCAGAAAAAGACATATAAATTAGTTAACTTTTAGTTTCTCAAGAATGGTATCAAGAGGCATAGTTGGAGATATCAATATAAATATCTTGTGTACAGTAGGATAAATAACTCCTCACTGGTGGCTTAGATCAGAAGGTCGACAGGGGAAATTAAAGCCCTTGGTCTAGAGAGATGGTAAATGACAGTGAGGACTCTCTCCCTACTTATTCAGTGCAGGCACTTTTAGGACTCACTTGGTAACTTGTTCTCCCCACCAGTGAGGTAGACAGGTAGTTTCCTCAGACCATAGAATTCTTCCCCTAAGTACACTCAGCTAAGCAATTATAAATAAAATGTTAATTTTTGTGACCTTTCAAGACATCAAATACGCACTACTATTTTATCACCCCAGAGAAAGAACTCCAGGAAGAGAGTTTTACATCCTGGCTGATATTCTGGTCCACTTCCATGTAAAACATGAATGATGGGAACTGGAAGGTTAGAAAGTTAGATTGTGGTTCTGAGAACCCAAGATAAACCCAAAAATTTATCATGAGCATCTGTCCAAAAACTTCCCAAATGGTTTAGCTATATAAAACACCAAGTATCTCAAATTAGCCTATCATCCTACATAATTCCACTGCAAAGGTACCTGATGACATTGCTAATTTCCTTGAGAGCAGGATATTTACATTTTCTTGAAAATAGACATTCGTACATCTCTTTTCCACCTCCCACCTTCTTTGTAAAAATACACATATGCATGTGTGTGCGCACACACACATTCAACCCTCTTTAATTCTCTTTCTTTTTCAATTTGGGATTTATACCTAATTTATGAAACAAAGTAATCCTTTTCAT